CCCAAACGCCTAACCCTAAACCCCTAACCCCTAAACCCTAAACCCCTAAACCCTAAACCCCTAAACCCCTAAACCCCTAAACCCCTAAACCCTTAAACCCTAAACACCTAAACCCCTAAACCCCAAAACCCCTAAGCCCCTAAACCCTAAACCCCTAAACCACTAAACCCTTAAACCCTAAACACCTAAACCCCTAAACCCCAAAACCCCTAAGCCCCTAAACCCTACAGTAAACCCCTAAACCACTAAACCCTTAAACCCTAAACACCTAAACCCCTAAACCCCAAAACCCCTAAGCCCCTAACCCCCTAAAGCCCGCGGTTTCCTGGGTCCCTGGCCTCCTGCAAGACCTCACTGAGCTGCTCTTCCGCCGAGCTCGCCTCCGCAAGGGAAAACCCAAGGCGGGTCGGTCTTAGGTGTTTAGGGGTTTAGGAGTTTAGGGTTTAGGGTTTAGGGTTTAGGGGTTTAGGGTTTAGGGTTTAGGTGTTTCGGGTCTAGGGTTTAGGCCTTGGGTTTAGGGGGTTCGTAGGTGGCGTAACAACATAGTGGTTTGGGAGGTATGTTGCAGCAAAACTTTATCGGGTTTGGCAGTAACAGAGGGCTTTGGGTGGTGCATGTTGCAATAATTTAAGCGGCCTCAATGATTTCTAGAGGGTTTTGGTGCATATTCTATGCGGGGTTCAGCAACCCCGGCACTGCGCATATACCCGGTTATAGTGTAAGTGGTAGAACTACATAGGGTTCTGTGTTCTAGGGTGTACGGCGTTATCTTGACGTTAAGTGTACAGGGATCATCAGAGGATGGGTCATATGACTCGTATGTCATATGTTTTTTAATGGGATTGTGGTATACGTTTTCTTGTGGAGATATAACGTACTAATATCGGGACTATATGCGGGTATTCTTGGGAGTCATTGCGTTTCGCCTAGTCATGGGTTTAGTGAGTATGCGGTAGGTCTGAGATTATTTCGCCTTTCATTTTGAAGCATTGCTACCTCATGGCTACTGAGTAGCGGCTACTGCCATATCGACAGCGGCATCGGGAAGCAGCGTTGGCCTGTCTCTTCGCATCGCTCAGGGACGAGATCCTTGCCTGCTTAGTGGATTAATGCCTTATAGGGGTTTAGCGTGAGAAGATTCAAGGGGTGTGAAGTTAGCAGACGCCTATCCTTTGAGCAATGCTCAGAGGTGCAAGGCTCGGGCTTTGATCGAAGCCATCTCCCGCTCTTTGGCACGGATGTCGGCAGCCTGCGGAGCTTCGCGGCGACGGAAGCTGACGGCAAGGGAGACTGCCCCAAGAAGCACCTCCTCCTCCATCATGCCGACGCTGAAAGGGTCGCTGCATCGGCATCTGGAAAGTGACTGCGAGATTTGCGGCGTGCAGGGACGACCCAGGAGGTAGGTTGGGCTAGCTGGGCATATTCGTTTTCGAGAATTTGAACACAAGCCATGCAACCGATTTGTAAAATCTTACCTCCGCACTGCTTCCCGGACCTTCCGACTGCAACACAAGAACCATCTGAGTGCAAAACTATAAGTACAAGGCCATGGGCTACGAGGCAGAGCCGGCTTGGGCCAGCATGCACAAATCCGAAGCTGCGCGGATTGCGAGTGGGCAGCTTCCTCAACCAGCAAAAGCAAAAGGCACTCCAGATGTTATCTCCGCAGGACAGGTCAGGTCTTCCTGTGGATCCAATGCGTGGCAGCCTGGCAACAGCATTGCAGCAGGGACTTACGCAAGGCCTTGCCCCACACCCCATAGGTAGCCGTCAGCCAAGCCGGTAGCCAAATATCAAGCCAAAAAATCCCGAAACCATATTCC